AAGAGCTCCCCTCAAGTGTTGAAAATTACATATACTTCTTTTATACTTTGATTGTTTAGTAATAATGTAGGTTCAAGAATTTAGATTTTTTTTCTTCAAAAATTCTAAATTGCTCTTTTGTACAAAATTAAGAAAGAAAATTATTAATTATTTTCTTCCATATTTTGTACTCCCTCCATCCTATTTTGATAGTCCTGTTTCTTTTTTCACACAGTTTAAAAAAAAGTAATTAATTTTATTGGAAAAGTAAATTTAAATTGTTATTTTTTTAAAATATTCTCACATTAAATATGGTACAATTTTATGGGAACTTGAATTGATGGTAAAAAAAGAATTAACTCTCATTAAATGGGGTAGATTTATAGTAACAACTACTTACATTGAATAAGGGTATTTTAGAAAAATTAAAATACAACTACATTTTTCAATTGGAAAGTGGACTACAATTTGGGACAGATGAAAAAGGAATACAGGACTATCAAAGTGGGACGGGGGAGTATAAAATAATAAAATAAATTTCTAATAATTATCTAAGTATAAGTTTTAAAATCAAATAGTCATTCAAAATATCTCAAATTGTATATATAATATCAATACCTGTCACGATAAAAATATATATATACACACAAAGTCTCATTAACAATTAATTTTATACCCTCAAATTATTTATTGAGTGGAAGGCATTACAAGCATTTTATTATATTAAAAGAGGTAATTATAATTTTTTAAACTTAGGAAGAGCCGAGTGAAACTAACATGAATGGCGTAGTGGATGGATGGACGGTGGGGTTTGCTGATCTAGACCCTAGTGGATCGAAATATGTCTGTGGTCTTGGACAGAAAATCAGTGAAGCCTGAAATAGCGGCCCCAACCAACAACCGGCCGGCTGGGGGCTACCAATACGAGCCAGAACGACAAAAATTTTAAGCGGCGCATTTGGGGGGCTCCCGATCTTTTGTTTGTTTGCCATTTATAATGATAATGATGAGACTTGGGCGGGCGAAAGGGATGTATCCATTTTTGCTTCTCCAGAAACGTATTATGCCATTGATTTGCCTTTCTGATGATAAGATTGCAATCTTTCATTGAGTTTGAACATATTTATTAATGAAGCACTAGTTATAATTCAGACACCCGTTTCAATCCTCCAGATATTACTTTCGGGCCGGGGACCTCAAAACCCAAAACGTGGTTTCCGTTTTCCTCCGGCTTATGAGGCCGTCGGCATCGTTGTCCAGAGTTCCACCATATGAAAAATCTATATTGCGTTAGTTTTATATGAATATTTTTTTTATATATTTTTCAACCATTCTTTTTACCTCACACATATATCACGTTCTAAAAAAAATAATACATTAAATACAATTCTAGCGTTTTGACCCCAAAAAAAAAAAAAAAAAATCCCAACGGACTCTGAGTGACCATCGATGTAGATACGAGTTAATTTTAGGTCAAGGTGTACCACGGTTCACCCAACTTTTTTTAAAGTTTCATCTAACTCACTGTACATTTTGTCGTATCAATTGGCTCATTAAACACATGAATTGCTCCAACATTACCACATAGTCAAACAAATTGGTCAAGTTACACGGAATTCGTCTCAATTGGCTATTTTTATGGATGGGAACACTTTCGCTATTTCATTCAAGTCTAGACATAATAAAGATAATACTGTACATTGCGCGTTCCACTCCTTTCATCATTATGTGATTTTTTTTTTTTTGACCTTTCCAATAATGCAGAAAATCACCCATGATTACATTAAAATCATCCTACCAACGCATTAAGTATTGTTTAGCATTTTCTTTCGTGCAAGTATTTATGAAAATATTTGGGTGATATTAATTTTTTTATTTTTTTGCCAACATTTTACAGAAATAACTTTTGAGTAAAAGTTAAATGCAAACAAGCATTATTTGGTGGTCGGAATTTGGGAAACAAATTATACGACACATTCACCGGGTGCCAAGTAATCCATCCCCAAAAATCAATTACCTTTAGAGTAGTTGACCGTCAAGGATAATCTTAAGGCTCTCTTTGAGTGAAGGTCAAACGAATCGAATTTCTTGACTTGCATTCATTTTCAAGATTTTCTGAAAGTTTCACAAGTGGTTGCAAAGTCATTCGTTTTATCCGATGATAATTCAGTCCCCTTCAAGTTCTCCCTTGATCTATTTGAACCTACCTCCCCCTTCTTAGTATAGAGTAGGAGTACGTATAAAATAGAAACTACCGTGTAGAAAACAAATAAAAATAAAAAGTAGTCGATCCCCAAAAAGAAATAAGCCCAAGATTGATGAAGTGGACCCATATGGGCCAGGGGAAGAGGCTTGGGAAACGTTTGGTCCATGAGTGAGTGGAGGGGTTCCGGCTAAAAGACGAACTCTGTGAAAAACTGCACGCCAATAACATATGTTAGTAGGCACTGCATGACAATTTGCGTCAGAGTTGCAGCTTCAATTATTCGCAGGTGCTCCGCGTACACACACGCGCGTGCGCGCGCGTATATGTATATCCATCCAACTATCAATTTATCCCCAAAAAAAATCCAACTATCATAACTATTATTTCTTTTTTTTTTGTTAGAATACAATAATTATAACTGGTCCTATACCAATGAAAGGGGACTGATCATGAATGAGACGAGTGCACTTAAAACACCCTCTGGATGTGAAGCCAAGAAATTAGCAAGTGGTAGAACCAGGTGAAATGATAAAAAATTCATATTTTAGATAGTTCAGTGAGTAAAAATATATAATTAATAATTAAATGACCAAATTTTAACTGTTGAAAAAATTTAGTGATTGCTCGAGTAATTTGTTCATAGGCATTATAGTGAATAAAGAGATTTAATTTACTATATCTCCAATTCTTTTTTTTTATTATTATTTTTCCGGAGGGCCGAGGGCTTTGGGGAATGAAACAACCAATAAAGGAGCTTTTACTCAACGTGGGCTAATCTTACGCGAGCACTATGAATCCGAAGATTCGCATAAATAAATGGAGCAGAGCATTAGTGTGCGGTCAGTGGTGGCCCAGCCCAGTCTCTGAGTTCTGCTGTTTTAACATTCAATTGCGTGCAGAGAGAGAAAGAGAGGCGTGGATTCCGTGCATCGATGGACCACGAATAACCAATTACCTCTGGATTAGTCCCCCACCACGTCTTGTCTTGCAAGACGGGGAGTTGAAGGTTCAAACCTGGGTAGTGTTTAGATATCAAAATTATTTTAAATAATATTTCGTAAATATATTTTTTAATTTATTTTTTTATATTTATAATTATTTTTTTATCTTACATATATCATATCACAAAAAGTGATACAGTAATTATTTTAAATAATACACTTTTCAAACAAACCCAAATTTGTTTTCAATCAAAGTTGTTATTTAATGTAGCTTTTTTTATATTCATATGGGTGCATAATGTATTCGTATAATCTAATAGTAATTCAGTTTTTGTCAGTTTTGGATCATTTTTTTAGAATAGATTAGAGTAGTCGTACTATACGATGATGGTTCAGTCTTCATATACTAGTATGATCTAATAGTAATTCAATTTTTCGTGATCCTATTAGGTCATCCTTTTAGAATAAGTTAGAGTAGTCGTTCGTATAGTACGATAATGGTTCAATCTCCATCGATTCTACGTGAGTCATCCCTTTAGAATAGGTTAAAGTAGGAATAGATATAAATGATGACAATTAATTAAAAAAAAAAAAAAGATGGACCATGAATGACTAGATCGAACGTGCTTCATTTTGCAGCATTATAGTCCTGTAATTTGTGTGCGTGATATTTTTTTTCTTAATTTTTTTATACCATGGATACCTTGTTTACAATATAAGAAATTTTTTTATAAAAAAATATTTAATTACACCATAAATACATTTTTAATACCATTTTTATTTTATTATTTACTTTGTTATTTTGCATATATCGTATCGCAATAATTATTATAGCAATCATTTCAAATATTTCAAAGATATTTTATGATATAACAGTTACGTACTAACATTTGCAATGCAGTATATACCGTATACTTTAAAAGAATACTATATATTTCCTGAGATTGTAGCTACCCAACGACTTCTCTTTTGGTCAAAATCTATATACGTAGCTTTTTTAATATCCTAACACCTTTCTGCTACTGATTACAGCCACAATGTTTGAATCTGTAATAGTAAGAAACTTGAAAGCATGGCCTTTTTTATCTTCTTTTTTTTTTTTTTTTGTGGATTAACATGGCCTTCTTTATCTTGTTCTGCTGGCTCGGTGGAAAGCGACAAAACTGCACATCGTCATTTCAAAAGCCAGCAACTGGAGAGCCCTGCGGCCTACTTCCTTCCTTCGTTCCTGCCTGCCTCCCTTTCTGTTCCACTTTCTTTTTCTTTGCAAGTTGCCAAGCCTGAGGCGTTTGCATTTTTTCTTTCCTTTTTCTTTTTTTTTTCAGTACAAACCACTAAAAAGGTAAATAAACGAAGCTCAGACGATTCGTAACCCAATTCTTGTCATCAGAGATGCTTGACTTTGAGCCTAAATTCTTGAGCCAGTCTTTTTGCAAGTATAGTGTACTACTCCATAAAGGGATTTGATCTTTGTCGTTTGTTGAAGTAGCAAGAGGAATAGTTTGGAGCACGGAAGTTTAACCTTCCTGAGTATTGCTTTTTGGCTGTTAATGTTCAAACATGGAAGCAACAGAAGTATAGCAGTGATTCTCCCAAGTACTTTCCTGAATTTTCCAACTTTTTCTGTGTCAGAGATTTGTGATAACTTTCTGGTTTTTGCCCCAAAAAAAAAAAAAAAAGTACATTTTTTTAATCTTCTTGGAGCTTCAAGAAGCAGAAGACTAGGAGCACCAACCTAACACTACTATGCCGCTGAAGACTTAACCTCTAAAAATTCAGCATTTTTGCACTGTAAAGCGTTTTTTCCCCTGCCTCCATATTACTATTAGATCTTGATAGCGGGAAAACAAATTTATCTTGCAATATTGGTTGTAATGCTAAGAAATAGATCAAGGGCGGTGACCAACAACCAAGCTCTTACGAGCGACTACCACAGCTCTCTAGTTTCTTCTCCCACCACCCCAACTCAAAACACCACTTCCATCGCTTCATCTTTCTTGAGGTCCCCGAGGATTTTCGATGGCATCTTGGCTAGTAGAAGTCTCTCTGACGCTGACAACGCAAAGAGCCCTACTCCAATTCTTGACGCCAAGCCATTCTCCAACTTTGTCAAACCTTTCGGGTACGATAGAAACTCTTCGGTCAAATCCCATAGTTCTTCTTTAGATAATACCACTGGTACTAATAAACACACCTACGAGAAGGTAGGTGGGGTTGGACTTGCACTGGTTGACTCTTTGGATGATGAGAAATACGATGCCAATTTTTCGAAGCCCAATAGTAAGATGGTTCTGTTTGGAGCGAAGCTAAAGGTTGGAATACCTCCACTTCCTTCCTCGGCATTTTCTTCAGCTGCCACTCCAAAATCTCCAGCTGACTTTGGGATCAAGACCAGGAATTCAATATGCTTGAGTTCTTTATCTGGGCTCGGCGGCTCTCCAAGTTGTTGCATCAGAGGAAAAGATTCTCCAGTGGAATTAGCTGAGGGGCTTTCTCTGAGTGAAATGGAACTTTCTGAAGACTATACTTGTGTGATCACTCATGGGCCTAGTCCCAAAACGACCCATATATTCCACGACTGCGTTCTGGAGAATTGCTGCGGAGTGGTCAAGTTGTCCGACTTGGAAAAGGATGGGGGTCTTTTAACTGATGATCCCACCTCTGTGTGCCGTTCAATTTTCTGAGCAAGGACAACCTTGGAGATGGCAAGGATATTTTCATGTACAGGTCAGTACCAGTTCCTGATTAAGCACACTGGATATTGTATTCCCCCGTTGGGCTGTCTCGGTAATTAGTCACAGCTTAAAAAAGTTGTGTAGTAGTGAAATAAAATGGTCAACAGTCTTTTATGTCGGTGGGTGATGTATTGCCCCGTTGGGCCTCCTCACACTTTGCAATGGAGAGAAGAATTTGGAGGTGAAAGAATGATTATCAGTAGAGTCATCTGAGGATTTAGACATATTATTATTATTGCTGCCTAAAGGATACTTAACATGAGAAGAAGAAGAAAAGGAAGAAAGAGTTGCGGATTTCCAAACTGTGATTACTGTGTGCTGAAGGATGGATTATGGATTGATTACCTTTTATGGCTAACGCAGGCAGGGACCAATAATTCAGCAAGTCAAAAGGCTGCTACGTTGTATTTGGTGGATGATAGGGAATTTGTGTGTTTTTTGGTGTTTCTCTTTCGTCCTCTCCCCTTTGCGTACAATTTCAATCACAAGAACAAAAACATATTATTGCAATTATAATTTCTCTCACACGGATCGGGAGGAAAGAATGTACCTATTTTTTGAATTATATAATTCTAGCGAGTGATGCTATTGCCGATTTGAATGCTTCGGTATAAACTGGCACCGCCATTAATCTAGTTTTTTTCCATTATCAATCGCAACGCAATGACGAGGAGGACGGGGACAGATTGCGTCTTCTGCGAAGCTCCTTACGTTTCTTATGTCGTTTATTGGCAGCGTTGGTTTTGGTGTATTGTTTTCTCTGATTTTTTTTATTTTTTAATTGTTGTGCAGTCGACGGAATTGGATCTGAAATGATTCTGTACGGGGAATAATTGCAGTGATTTTAAAAGTCAAACCTTTGGAACTGCTCCCTCCGTCCCGTTTTATTAGTCTTGATTTTTTTTCCACACAGATTAAGAAGGTGTAATTAATTTGGTTGGAAACATAAATTTAAATTAATAATTTCCTAAAATACCCTTATGCTAATCAATGTAGTCAATGTATTCAATGTATTCAACGTAGTGGGTGAGTATTTAATAACACTGTATTAATAACAAGATATTTAATAAAGGTATTTTAGACAATTTGAAAGATTACTACATTTCTTAATGGAAAAGTGGACTACAATTTGGGACGGACGAAAAAGGAAATCAAGACTAACAAAGTGGGACGAAGGGAGCATAAAAATGACACAGTACTGGTAGTACTCTTATCTTTTCCAATGATCCAACTAAATTATGAGTGCCGTGAATTACTCGTACCCAGAAGAGAAGAGAGGAGAGGAACGATCAAATTAAATTGGTTGCCTTCTCAAATCTGGCACTATGCTTCTCTTATGGTAGTAGTTCAGGAATTCTTTTGCCTCTTTTCTTTGATTGAGTTCAGTCCCATATACATAATGAGTGAGAAAAAGCGAACTTCCATCTTCTTCAGCTCTTCCCTCTTACCGCCATAACCCTAGCTCCTCTACAAGTCCACCACCGCTGTTAGCAATAGGCTTCTGCACCTCCACCGGACTTCACTACCATCTGCTCTTCTAGTTTATTTTCGGACATCAATTTCTTTTCCACTGCTTTCTATCGCAGCTCCTCCACCACCACTGCTCCCCGGAGATTGCAGTAGCTGTTCCTGTGGTAATTTTTGGAATTCAAGCTTTCACTAGCATTAGCTGTTTTGGACTTCAAGCTTAAGACTCAACCAAATTATCCCAATGGATATTTTTTTGCCCTTTTTAAATATATCATATCCTATCATTCCTATGGTTGGAGTCCGAAGTATGATGAAAGAAACATATGATGTTTATAACCTTTTATATCATATCTTGGGTTGTTTCAATAAATTCACGCTTGGCTTTTTTTTTTTTTTGTTTATCAAGAATTTAGCACTTAGGAGAGGCTGAAAAATGTAGTTTAGACAACTCTGTACTTTTTCCCTGCTTAAACCTCAGCACTAAATTCAATAACTATGACCAACATCTACAGTTTTTGGAAAAGAAAAGGCAATGCTCAAATTTTGACTGTAAACCAAAGTTCAGAATTTTGTTTATATAAATTTGAATGACTATCATTGTAGTTTGTCAATGATTAAAAATGTATGAAATTTTTATTTTGTAAATTTTGTGAGTCTGTCTGAATAAATTTGATAAATTAGATATAAATTTGGATGATTGAATTCTTTGATTATATTTTGTAAATTTGATTTATAGGAATATATATATATATATATGATATATTTATAACATTATCCAATTCGATCGACCTTAATCGAACCCATTAACCCCTAATGAACCCGTTCGAGTCAATACCTGACCCGAGCATGCAAACATATCGAGACAAGAGAATCCAACGAGAATCCATCTTTTTCTAGCCCGATTTCCAACAAGGTAAAAATTAAAAAAAAAAATTAACAAGCCAATTTGCAGGTCACACCGCACTAGGGAAGTTTTTCAACGGTGCATAATTATAGCATTTGCCGAACCAGCTAAAAAAAGAGAGCTCGAGCACCTTTCCATGAATACGCCCATAACGAGCCTGAAGCTCCTAATCAAGGGGGAGACGAAATGTTTTCACACTTTTGACAAAATCTTCAAACTCCCAAATTGCAGTCCAACCAAACAAATGCAACATTTCCCAGCGCAAGCAAACCAGGAACGTGCCACATTTCCTATAAAAAAATTTTATTACCGTGCATAATGGAAAATCCAGAAACAGCAATTGTAAGACGATGCATTACCATTTGAATCCAAATAAAAAAAACCCATGCAGGAAACAAACTACTCGAACTATCTAGTACAGCATTATTCGAAGTTCAAAAGAGACACAAGCCAACAGGAAAACAGCATGCAACTTGCAGACTCAAGGCCCAATACAAAAAGCATCAATTTTCCACAAGGACCCTTTTTGCTAAAAGAAACCAGGATTAAAAAAGAAAAGTGCAGCGCAAGAGAGCCTAGTTCGGAATTGGCTTGCTTAACATTTCTCATCCATAGCTCCATTTACCAGCGCACTGTTATCAAAATAAAGATTCCAAAAAGAAAAAAACCATTAGCAACAGTGAAGTAAAAAATTGACTGAAAACAACAAAGAATACCGATGCAGTTAAAGTATAAATACCTTCTTAATGGCTAGGTATGATCAACCATCTCCATCCACAAAGATGTCACTTCACACAACAAGAATAAAGGTGCAAACCCACCTGCAAAGGTTGATAACTACTCGGCTTCCTGTGCAGGAGAGTTACGGATTGATTCTAAGCAGAAAAAGGAGTATAGCAGAAGCCGAAATCAAACTAAAACTACATCCCCTTCCCATTTTTCCTTTTTAAAAACCAGAAAAATGGCGAAAGGTGTAACTGCAACTTTGCATAGCAAAGCCAAGGACTTGGATCCGGAGTATTTGACAAAAAGCAAAAAGAGAGATGAGAATCAAGAGAAGAGAAAGAAGCAGCAGCCATTTTAGGCAGCATTGAGAGAGTTAAGGTGTAAAATGATCTAAAAAGCCTAACAAGTCAAAGGACTGCAAATAGACTAGGCTACCAAAGAAATCGAAACTGGATGCACTATATAGGATGATGGGTTCTGAACGAGAGGCAAGAATAGTGATTAATACAATCCTATCAACTAGTGAGCCAAATCAGGTTAGGACTCTACTGTATACACAAAATGTAACAAAAGCACGAACTGTTCTATCTGAAAACAGTTCGTGTTCTATCTGAAAACAGTCCAATGAGAATGAGCAACCCTGTGAAGAAAGATTTTAGTCTATTTTGAGCCAAAGAGAGAGTTGAGCAGTCTGTCCGCTTCATTACAAGACAGCCCGCAAGCACCAACAACCCTTTCCACATCTGCTTCGTCATTCACAGCATTCCACCTTCTGCTGTCATTACATATTGAACCAACTTTCATCCGTCTCCTAGCACCCCCACACTACTCAACCGCATCTCAACTATTATCATCTTGATATACTTGGAAATAGTCAACCAACCAGCCACCAAGTCTCTTGCACCACTGACACCACATAAAGCTACTAATCAACCATAACTATCAAGTCAAGCAGAGGACTCATTTATTCACCATATATACATTCTAGAATCTACCACTAACCCAGCTATCAAAGAAAATCAACTTCCTTATTCACAGGAGCTGCGCGAGCTCCAAGTCTCCATTCAGTCGTCAGTAAGATCAAGATTGAGGATGCGACGAAGGGTCTTCGTCGCTGAGTCAACACTTAGGCTAACACCATCATGAAACAAATCATCCGGGGAAGGGCTACGTTCCCTGGTAGGGGAAGCAGGGGCAGACTTGGCAATAGGGCGAAAGTCAATGTCAGAGGCCGAAGAAGAGGGCAAGTCAAGCGAAACAGTCCTTTTTGGACGGAGAGAAAACTTGGGAATGGGGAGAGAACTAGGAGGTGGGGAGTTGGAATAAGCAGGCCCAGCCCAGCGTTCAGAGAAATTAAACTCACCACTGAAGGAAGAAGCCAACCTGCTATAATCGACATCAACTTTCAGTTTCATCGGGATGGGAATGGCGCTACTAGATTTGGCCAACTTTTTGGACTTCTTTGGTTCTTCGGATCGTGAATGAAGAAGGGTAGAAGGTGTTTTGGGGGAAAATGAAGGGGAAAAGACCCGTTTGGGAACAGGAGAGGAGAAAGATTTAATTGGGGTAGGTAGTAAGCCGGAACCAGATTGAAAAGTCCGGCAATTAATCCCCCTAAAATCCTTAGACGGCGGCGAATCAAACGACCCAAATGGCTCGGGTCCATGACCCTTACTTCTACTATAATACTGATTCCGATGCTGGGCCACAACAACTAGAGTCTCCATGGCCGGTGACTCTACCAACTAGGGTTTATCCTAATCAAAAGATTACTGCTCCACTACTACCAGAACTACAAAAATAAACTTAAAAGAGATCCGTCAACTAACCAAACACTGCTTAAAGGAACAAATTTCAAGGCATACACTAACAGAAGCTTTTAGATCTCCGCCATAACCACCAGAATCTGAGTAGATCAACATCAATCTCCTGATTTCCAAGCCATACATAGAACATGTATTTGCTCTAATAATTTTGCTTTATCAAAAAACACAAATTCTCTTTCTTCACTTGCTTCAGATCTACAGATATCCCCAAAGAAAACAAAAACAAAAGTAAAATAAAAATCAACAAATCAGTTCATAGAAAAGAAAGAAATGGGAACCAAAAAAAAAAAAAGCTAATTAAGTGACAATCAGAAAAGTTGAAGAAGACTACCTGGTGAGTTGATAGAAATTGATCAGCGAGATCGGGCGGGTGAAAAGGATAAGTTGACAAATGTGATTTTCGTAGCTTTTTTTCTTTTTTTTTTTTCGGTTTTTGGTTGGGTTTTGGTTTGGTTGTCTATATATACATATATGTGTAAGTGTGTGTGTGTGTAGATATATGCAAGCAGCGTGGACTGTGAGATGCAGTAGAAAGTAAGTATAAATCAGCAAGACGAAGACGACGCCATTGAAAGTTCAGCTTCTGAGCATTTTTTGAATAATAGCAGTAACCGGATGTGAAATGACCCTCTGAGTTGAATTGAAATGTGAACTCTCACGCACTTCGACAGCACCCACCTTCAGTTCAGATTCCCTCAGGGCAGGGTAGTGGATTTTTATCTTCCCGATTTGACCGCAATACCCCTCTGCTTTTCGGTTCTACCGCAATACCCCTCACACTTGACACTACTGTTGAGTGCTGACCCCCACGTTCTATTTACCTGATTCAATGACCATTTTGCCCTGGAAGAGCCTTCACTTAGATTCAGTAGTAATATTCTCCTTTTACCTGCCTTACTGGTCATTTTAACACTCGAACTAACTATGGTAGAACATTGAGTAAATTATTTGAATGACCGCTAAACTTTTGGAAAATATAGCATTGGCTACTGACCAATTAAAAATCTAGTTTTAACCACTAAATTATTTAAATTTTAAATTTCAAATCAATTCGTCAGATTTAATTCTTAATTACACCTTTTTTGTCCTATGAATTGGGTAGGAACTCAAATCTATTATGTTTAACAATTAAATCCAACGAAATAACCTGACATCGAAAATTTAAATAATTTAGCGATCAAAATTAGATTTTCAATAATTCAATAGTCAAAACTTGATGATTTCAAAAATTTGGTGGTTATACAGATAATTTGCTCTAGAATATTTTAACCAAACAAAATTGGATTCGGTTAGTTTAGCAATAAGCGGAGAACGGACCCGTTAAAAAGAAAATTAAAAAAAAAAGAAAGAAAAAAACTCAAACCTTTGGTCATGAATTTGTGTTTTTTTCCCCCTTAAATAAAATTTTGTCACCTTATTGTTATCTTGTACAGTCATTATTCTAGTAGAAAGTTTCGAGTTTATTACTACTCGTGATATCTAAAGCTGGTGGCCTAAACGACTGCTACCAAATGCAATGTTGTACTCATGAAAAGTTTGAGAAATTGGGGAATTGCTTTTGTGGATACTATTAAATGCCTTGCTGTTACCATAAATATAAGCTCATTGAATAAAGGAGGAATAAGGATTTCTTCAAAGTGTACTACAGGCTACATTGAATAAAAAGAGGATTAAGGATTTCTCCAAGGTGTACTGCAAGCTTCCTGTTTTCCAAATTTTGTAAAAGAGGAAGGACAAACAAAAAAAATCTAGTATGACCAAGCATCATAATCGTATTTTCTTTTTTCAAAAAAAAAAATATATATATATATACATAAACGCATAACTATGCTACATTTCAATCCAAGAATACAACTGGCTATTTGCTGCGAGGCCAAAATGTGTGTTTTCAAGCACTGTCGTAGCTTAACGCACTCTCTTGTAGGTATCCAATTCATCGGAGCAGCTACCCTTTGATCTAAGCCGGCGATTGGTTGAACAAGTCCATTTTGACTCTTCAACAACAAAAATTCCGGCTCCAGTGCTTCCTTGCATTTGGATGGCTTTCTATTTTGATTTAGGCCGTCTTTGGAAAATTTTTATTTTTCAAATTTTTTTTAAAAAAAAGTACATAACGAATTTTGAAGAAGAATTGTAAAACATGTAAGTAATAAATGTTTTTTTTTTTTTTTTGGGTTCTATAGAAGGGACGATTGCTGGAAATTTAGCTGTACACAGCCGACTAATTAGGGGTGCTGTCGAGTCGAGTCGCACTACTCGAGCTCGACTCGAGACAAAATAACTAAACTCGAGCTCGAGTTCGTTCTCGTCAAGCTTTTAAAATTCGAGCTCGAGCTCGAGCTCGACATCGATTTATGGAATTCGAGCTCGAGTTTAATTAAATGTAATTAATTCAAATCGAGCTCAATTGAGCTTATTCGATCTCAATCAAGCTCAAGTAATAAAAATTAATATTTTATATATAATTTTAAATAAAGGATATTATTGACATTTCACAATAATAAAAATTAAAATATATATTATAAAAAACTCGATAGAGCTTGTCGAACTCTCGAGTATTATATTTCCAAACTCGAGCTCGACTTGATAGCTCTAACGAGCAGCTCGAGCTTGGTCAACCGAGCTCGAGCTCGAGCTGCTGACCAAGTAGCTCGCGAGCTCGAGCCGAGTTACTTGGTTCAGCTCCAGTCCTGCGATTGATGCATATGCCAAAAAAGCTCCACAAATTGCTTTTAATTCTATTTGGGTCATGCCGGGGTGCGGACGGCAAAACCGCTAATAATCTTGATTTCTTTAGTAAGGGATTGATGAACTATTAAAATTATTGGCTTCCTCATTTAACTCTAGTCCTAACCTCTACATGTATTGACCGAGTGCCTCGTCGGTTTTTTCTGATTTTCGGTCGAACCCCATTTTCGATCGATTTTGACTATTTTTTGGTGAGGGATTTTAAAGGTAATCTCGATCAAACTGTTCATCAATTTTTGGTCCAATTAGTTGAACCGACTACAGTTCGAGTTTATAAACACAAGTGCCGTGTGCCTCGAGGGTAGGGACTTCAACAATCTATGTCGTTCCAAAGTCTGTTGTTGACCTTGTAATATTCCACTTCATCATTTTTTTCTGCAACGGTAGATTTTGTATTAATTGGCAAAAATATACACTTATATGAGCAAAGACTCAACTAATTCTATACAAAAAGTGTTAGACAAACTGAGAATTGATCAATTCCTCATCTTAAGAGATGCTTAAAGCATAATCACTAATCCATTCACATCTAGAATCTCGTCGAATGGACCGTCATATATTTGAATCCAAAATTCAAGATCATCAATTTGTCGAGTATCTCGTCGAATGGACTTGTAGAGTTAGGGAAGTTAGAGCCCCATATATTAAATTAAATTGATCCAGACACGCGCAACATATGGATGCATGCTCATTCACTACTCCAGTCTCAAATGAATGATTATTGAGTTTGAGAAGGGAACGGTTCAAAATTCAAATACGTGGACTGACTAGAAAATCAAATTCTATATCTATAAAATGTTGTCGATGCAGGCCAAGAAGATTCTACTCGCCAAATAATGGTCCGCTTTAGGTTAGGGTGGCCAATGAAGACGGGCCAAGTTCAACACTCATTGGTAAGTTTTTCTTAAATTGGTCCCATTGTGAGGGAAGTTGCAACAAGTCTTGGTTGGACCCGAAGGTTCAGATTCTTCTGTCTGCTGTCGAAAACAAAGGCCCTTTTGCTAACTGGTTTCTTGGGCCTCCCTCTCCACTTCCGCCCCCCGGGTGTTTCTATCTGCATTCCTAATTAACAACGCAAATGACTTTGGTAAACGTGAAAGCACTGCAATATACTACAGTGTAATACTAAAAAAAAAACAAAAAATCATGTGCACGAAGGACTGCAAAAGCAGTCGAGTCGAATCGAACTATAGCTTAATCTGAGTTGAATCTTGACTTAATTTTATTAAGTTTAAAGTCGAACCCGAGCTGCCAATCTAAAGTTCGAACTCAAAAAAAATAAAAATAAAAATTTTATTTTTTAAAAAATAAAAAAATAATATTTTTCTTAATAAATAATTAAAATTTAAGAATATATATGTAGTTTTATTATTAAAACAAAAAGTAAATAAATAAATAAATATATATATACTCGAGCTCGCGAGCTAACGAGTTTAATATTTTGAATTCGTACTCAAGTTCGAATTTGATTTTTGATCGGCTCGAACTTTGATTCAAACCGCTCGTCGAGCGCCTCTCGATTCGTTTGAGGCACAACAACCTTATAGCTCGTTTTTTTATTAAAAAAAAAAAATTTTTTTTGACGGGTGACAACTTGTATGTATTCTCTTAAAACGGAGAGACTTTGAGGGCCTATGAGTGACGCCTGCTGCACTCACCATAGCATGCCGAAATCTCCAATAAGGATAATATACTACTACTACTACTACTCACGGCTCCTACTCCTGAAGTGACGCACGATAGCACGCTACATTGGTTGCTTGCTTGGCCATCGACTTGTCATTTTAATTGCTGTTGTCATTCTGTTACGTTGGTTGCTTTTTCAACTTTTTAGTTACTACCCATACTATAAATTTAAAAAGAAAAAAAAAAAGGTCAGTGAAACTAAAGATTGACGGGAATTAAGTAAAACTTGAGCAAGAGGATATTTTATTTTTGAGTCATGTTTAGGGGCGGTTGATAAATGTCATTTAGCGTTTTGCAGCAGCAACGCTAAATTTTTAGGCCATGCTTGGATTGCTTGTTTTCGTCGAAAAATATTGTCGTTTTCCGTGATCACATTTTCCTATCACATTTTTCCCTCACATATATCAAATCGCTACAGTAATTTTTTCATGAAAAATGACGGAAAATGCAATCCAAACACAACCTTAGTTAATTTGTAATGAGCGCATCTCATTCAACATTTTAATTAACTCTTATAGACAAATATTTTTGAGGAGTTATCTCCGTCATTTTATTTTTATTTTTTTTTGTTGAGGGAGGGGGCCTGGGGGAAGAGGAAGCTGCATCATTTTGGACACAAGAGAGAGTGGTTGTTTGCCTAAGCGCTGGTAGGACCAACTTCACGCAATACAAACGCAAATATCCGGAAAGTTCCATGCAATTTCCTTCTCTTTTCCGGCAAGACCAAAAAGCTCCCGTGTAAATTTTTTGAGTAGTTATAATCATTCCATGTTCAAGAGTCAACCTAAAAAATAAAATAAAATAAAAATTACGATATTCCACTCTTAACAATGCACACAAACATGCAAATCCTTAGAGATGGGCATTTTTATTTTTATTTTTGCTAAAATCATTTGCCGTTTAGTATCGAAATTTCCTTCCTTATATTTATACGTTTTTAACAGTCAAAAATGGAAATGTATGATCAAATCAGTCAAAAATGGATTTACATCCTTGGAAATGTATGTGCGATATATATAAATGAAAAATCCTGCAAAAAATATATATCGATTTTAAATGGTGACTCACCTTTCTAATTTTAGTGATTCTCATATTTTTATGTATTTAGATATATGGTGGTGATTTTCAATCATTTCTTACAAGTTAAAGTAAAAAAAAAAAAAAAAATTTCTTCCAATCGAAGAGAACACGCGACTTGTGCCGCACGTGGGAGGAACTTTGGTATCGGTATTGCCTCCACTCAGCGTAACCTAATAAATCATTTACACATAATTAATCTATTATAACAAGTCAATAGTAGTTGACACATTTTAGTGTATTTGATGACCGGTCAAATACTTTGCGTTTTGAGGCATCCACGGTCGACAGCGTTTGGGAATAATGCGACGGCGCCTCCACTCACATGCGATGAAACACGCGTCGACAGCCAACGCTGCTTATATGACTCTCTTTTTAAAAAGAGGGAAGGGGGAGAGAGGAATGCTTACGGAATTTATCATCTGAGGAACGTTCCCGAATTTTATCATCGTAGAGTTGTTTTTTTATCTGTAGGTGAACTCATAAATATATATAAGGAAAAAAAAAAAAAGGGTTTGCGTTAAATTATACACTTATGTACTGTCAATTACATTTAAAAAAAAATGCGTAGTTCTGGTTTCTTCATACTAAAGAAAGTCATGTTGACGTTTTGACCAAAAAAAAAAAGCGAATTTATATATTAGACAGTTGTTGATATACTTAAATCACAGGCAATTTATTATATAAATACACACTAATAATTATTATCATTTCTCGTATTTATACATTTCTTAATATGTAAACCAATGGAGACTTGCTAGGCAGACTCTTACATACCGTAATAAATATAAACATTAGCATAATAAATGTAAATATTAAGATAATGGATTTTTTTGATGGGTCTGGTTAATACATTTAAATTTCACCCGACTTGGACACTTATACACATATACTACTGTAATAATTATTATCATTTACTGCATGTATGCACTTTTCCTGATAATTGATTCCGCCTTTTTGAAAATCTAACACATGAATTACATTTTTGATAAATGCTCATTGTGCACCCGCATATATACAAGACATGTTGTTACCTTTGATGAAAATTGCGTGCAATAATCAACCTCATTGCAATTTTAAACTAAATCTATATAGGGTATTATATTAGTTCATCCTATCCACGAATGATGATTGCACATAAATAAGATATGCATGATATAACTTGTAGTATAATATATTATTGTCACACCGGAGACCTATTGGGCAAACAAGAAAAAGGAAAAAGATGACAACCCTTGCAGAAAATTCCGTTGCCAATCTTTTTGTTTTTTTGTTTTAGGTAGAGTTTTTTAAAAAAAAAAAAACAAAAACAAAAACCGTCATATCATTAAGAAATACTTGAAGCTGGCGACGATTGTACCTAATCGCTGGATAACTATCGGGATAAGTATTAGTTAACCCTCTTTCTTCAAAGTACCTGACGACAAAACAAAAACCGTATCTTCTCCGATAATAATTTCTTAGCAATTCATCCCTCTTCCTCTTCCTCCCCAATCCCGCTGTCCTTGCAAACTCCCTTGCTCCTTTTCTCTTCCTTTAACTTTCGATTTCTCTCACATGAAATCCACGAGCTGTTTATAAATAGTGTCTGCTACTGGGCTGCTGTTGAAAGCGGATATTGGAATTCCCCAATTCTCAGATTAATTATTTAGCGAAATCTTGAGTTCAGTCTTCCTTTATTAGCCCAGAAACTTATCTCTCATTTGTTTCTTCACTTCTTGCGAGACCATGAAAGTTCATCCCGTGCCGAGGAAGCGGAACATGACTCTGCGATACGACATCGCGTCGTCCCTCTCTCAAGCTAACGCTTTAGCTTGCAGGCAGAAGAAGCTTCGGAGGCTGCCTCACATCTTTGCCAAGGTTCTTGAGCTGCCGTTTCACTCCGACGCCGATGTTTCTATTGAGGAGACCGCCGATTACTTCAAGTTCGTAGTTCCTACGGATGATGTCGGCGATGATGTCAGGGCCCATACCCTCGAGATCTATCCCGGAGTTACTAAGATTCTGATTCGCGAAAACGACTTCGTTGGTAGTGGGTTGTTTCTGGATGAGTTAGAGCTTGACTTCTGGAGGTTCCGGCTCCCCGCCGCAACTCGGCCGGAGATGGCTACCGCGGCTTATGTAGACGGTGAGCTGGTGGTCACGGTGCCAAAAGGAAGCGGCGACGAGGATGTTGGTGAAGCCGAAACCGGTGCTATTGGAGGACCAGGACAGCTTGTTCTTGTACAGTAATTTATTTAAACCCCCCCCCCCCCCGACCCCACCAAAAAAAAGGTTGGCTATTTTTTTTTTTTTTTTTTTGTATGTTATGCTTATCTCAGGATCCTTTGATCCTTAAAATGAAAGTCTGCTACTTCCATAAGGTTACGCTATGTTGCATATTATTCAGTTAAGTTTTTGGTTTTCTTGATTTACAGTATGTGTATGTTTGTTTATTAAAATTAGGTTAAGGCTGTGTTTTGTTCTATATCATAATCGGAAGTTGATTTTTATGGCAAAGAAACGTAGCTTAATTTTGAATGAGAATCAGTTTCCATTTTCTGATTTTTTTCCTTATCTGATAAAGAACCAAACACAGCCTTAAGTTTGGAAGTATTTGGTATATGTTATTGATGACTAAAGCTTGCTTGCTGAGACTAGGACAGTGAGCTGAATGTAACATTTTTTGATGTCAGAAAACTTGGTTTGTTCATATAAATGAATTCCATTCTGTTCAGTCATCAAAATAATCTGGCATCGCAGTTTGAGGGGAAAATTTGATATTTTCACTGAAATTTGTTCAGAATGTGCTCTGGTGCAATCTAGATTTCATTTTGAATGAACTTAACCTCTCATGGTTGCTGGATTGGCTTGTGCCAAACTTCCATGTCTCCATATTGTGTTAGATGACACTCGTTGTGATTTCTTTTTTTCGAAATCACCATAACTTCCACTACTGCAGGTTGTGTTTAATGACACTCATTTATGATTTTTTTTTTCAAATTATGATTTCAATCCGTTAAAACATTCCAAAGCATGTGATTATAGTGCATTATGTTTGTTTTCTTGTGCTAGATTAGTGATTTCAGTTCCCACTGAAAAGAAAAAAAAAGACATGAAACTTAAGAAAAGAAAATTGCAGTAGTTCATCTTATTCCCATTAACATTTCCCAATAATTGAACCATATATTGCAACTTGGTCTTGTCCTGATCGATAATTTTGGAGCCTCTTTGTCATCTTTATCAGTTGCCCCTGCTTGGTGATGGGACACTTGACTACAAATTTGTTTCTTGTGCCTTGTGTAAACGTCAAGTGACATATGAACGGTAGGTTTTGCTTGGAGAATATGTTACTCTTACATCCTGTTGTATAAGTATATGCTGTTCAGAAAGAACTTGAGACGAACGAAAATTGATAGTAAAAAGCAATTAAGCCATGACAAGAAAGTAATTGATTCGAGGAAGTCTGAGTGCTTACGCTCTTACTTATTTGGTGAAGGTGCATATATTGAGTATTCTTTGCTGGACCCTGAGATTGTTTGAATTCATTTTCTGGTTGATAGGACTGTCGTCGTGTTAAACTCCTTCCTGTGGAGTTTACCAGATGGCTTGAAAACTCTGGCTGATTTTGATTTAGTCTAACTTCTTCTTCCTTTTTTTTCCTTCTTCGCATCTCAAATTATACTAGGTAAACAATCATGTCCTTTGTCTGAGCCAAATTACAATTTTATGTTTTTTGCTTGATTTATAGTGGATGTTTCAGCACAGGTTAAAGCAATTTATTACCCTTGTTGCCAGAAATCGTGCAGTTTCAGCATATGTATTGTTAGCAAGCCAAATTTGTGCAAAAGGAAGGCCATTTGCCTTCGATGGTAGGCCAGGCTAGAGCAGCAGCAGTTTAAGTTTAACATACAAATATCTTTAGAGCCGGCTTAAGTCCCTGTCACTGTGACTTTTAAATAAAATTGAGTGACTTATTTCAAAGTCCCATAACAGCAATCGCTTTTAAAGGCGGATCTTAGACTAACAATGAAAGCGGGTGAAGGGGGGGGGGGGGAATTCTTGGGACTTCAGCTGTTACAGCCAGTTTCTTTATAATGGCAATTGCCAAGCTTGCACTTATTCTAGTGCAGTTTCAGGCATATTCTCTACCTTGTGCAAAACACAAATAGTTCAAGCCATTCATGTGTTTTCGACGTGAATAGCTTGAGGATGTGGAAATTTTGCACATTACGTGACTCCTTTGAGAGGATGTTGTTAGCTCCCTTTGAAAATTGCAACCAAAAGATCTATTGAGGTAATGGGAAAAGCTCGAGAGGAATATCATTTGATACTGTAATTGAGAATTTTTTGGGAATGTCTTCTGCTGAGCGACTTGTTCAAGCTGGAAAACTTTCTCCGTTCGCTAAGTCATGGTCTGTTATTGCAACATCTCCAGCAGGTTATGTAATTCGTAAAGAAAGTGGCGCGTACGTGTTGCTACTCCAGATGCATATTTAATCCGTTGTACTCCTATTGAAGTTGGCTGGGCCTGTCATGTCTGCCTTGTCTTTGAATGATCTCCAATCCCCTTGCCATCCATTTGTTTGTACGTGTGCCATCCAATTATCTTTGACAGGTGCCCGACCTAAGGCTAGTATTCATGTTGTAATCCAATTTAATTTGTTTAGTCTTTTTGGTCTTTTGCTGGATATGACTCCGTAACAGGGTAAATGTTACTATTGGTACCCAGCTAAAAATTTTGGAGCTTTGAGAATAATTTAGCTTTCTGCCGCGCCTTAATTTATTTATAATCTGTATAATCTCAATATAGTAGTTTATATATGCAAGAGAGCATGAAAAGAAATTATACTGATTACCCGACGTGGCTCGTTTGCGTTTAGATTTGGACTTCTTGTCTTTAACATCTCCAACTAACAAATTACCAATTGGATTGCCCATTCCTGGATGATATATGACGCTGCCATGAGGTTCTTGGCTGTTGTTCTTTCAGTGCTTTCTTCTTCTTTACGTATATATATATATATATGGTTTGGGCTAATGGTCGATGATCCCATGACTGTAGTCTTTTGTATATTCATTGTTGCTTTGAATTGGTTGGGAGTGGGGTCTGGAATATGTTCTTTGCTTTCCGTTCATCTTTGGCGATGCTGTTGTGTGTGGTGGCTGACTATTCCCCCTTGTATGATATGATGAGAAAAAGACAGAGACAGACAGGATTATGTGATGTCGTCTTCGGAGTCGGGAAGGAGGAATAAATGAAAAAGGAAAAGGGTGTGGCTCCGGTGAGAAATAAATGAATGGGATAAGTACGACATTATGAAACTCTTCTTTGTTGTTAACTCCTTTAACTTTGCACTACAAGCGAAAACTAGGTAATTTTGTTTTTTTTTACCAGATACGTTAGATTCCATGCCACATCTGTTACTACTTTTATTCTACACTAAGGGGAGGGGTAGGGAGAGGAGGACTCAAGGGGGTCAGAGAAGGAATCAAAAGGGATTGAACCATCACCAGTCTAAACGGATACTTGGGGGATTGGACCATCACCAGTCTAAACTGATACCTACGCACCCGCTGACAAAATTTAAGGAAATCCTGGATTGAATGTTGATTTTTTTTGTCTACACCCAAGTGTCTAGTGGCCAACTACTCTAGGGTAAATACATGAGTACTTTCCTCAGATTTTTCTTGACAATATTTTGTTGATTCAAACTGGGGCCTCAAGTGGAGGAAGGAAAGCGTTTAGCAATTCATCTTGCGGACGAAGAAGAAATAATATAAAATTGTTCTCTTTTGCTGAACTTCAGCGGTTAATGTTTCCGACCTCATGTCCAACAAAAACTTGCGTGGAGTCGTGGACTGTATTCTTTGTTCCCTTCAAACTTGGTAAGCACATATTCCATATAAATATATTATGCTAAAGTTTATACTGAAAAAACACACTGAGGGTCTTATCATCAAATTTTTTTTATAGATTACTTTTTGAACTCATTGTTGTTATATCAATACCAGCAATTAGGGATTCATGCGAGCCAAGCTGCTCGCGAGTAGCTTGCGAGTAGCTCGGTCAATGACTTGGTTTGAACTCGATCAAATTGAATTCGAGCCGAGTCTCGAGTTACTCGAGTATACATTCAAGTCGAGTAAGAGTTCGAATTTTTGCAGCTCGTGACTCGACGAGCTACTCGTCGAGTAGTATAATTTAAATAATATATATAATTTAAATAATATATATGTATTATAAATATAAAATGACCATTATGAGTATAATTTCTACTGAATTTACAAGATTGATAAAAAATTCGATTGATCAGTTTACTCGGCTCGATAAGGCTTGACTCAAGGTCGAGTCTTATTGAGTCGAGTCTCGAGCTTTTAAGGACTCGATCGAGATCGAGCTTGAGCTCGACTCGGCTCGAATACACCCCTACCAGCAATAGATTTCACCTCTGCATATTCATAGTTAATCCACACACAGCGAAAGTTTCAAATTCATTAAAATAATTAAACAAAATTGAATATTAAGATATTTAACTTGATTAAATTTGTTTACACCTCTAAGAGAATACACGGTAATCTCTCACAAGTAATTTTTTTCATGTTAAAAGAAAATCAGAATTTTTTATCCTTGGGGTAGAGTGTCATTTATTCGGAATGAGGTTCAATCAGATATAGAATTTCGGTTTAAGTGCCACAATTCGGGATGATCAAATTTTGTCTGTAATTATGGTAGCATATTGGTGTTAATTCGATTTTAATAGCATCATGATATCATTCGCACGGATTTGGTTTAATTACTTGAAGTTGGAAGCCTTTAATGTACGACTGTCGCTTTCATCAATGAGGTTTAGGTTCCGTTTGATAAAACTGAATCTGAATACTGAAACAATTAATTTGCTGAATTTTAAGCACTGAAAAAAATATATGAATGTCTGAATTTTAATGCTAAACTTATTTATACTGTTTGATAAATATTTATAGCTGAATGCTTAATAAGTTTAATTTAACAATTTTGCCCTTATATCATTTCATTCAAAAAAGAAATAGAATCTATGATTTAATTAGTTTAAAATTGTTAGGTATAAAAATGACAATATTTATTTTTAAATCAAATTAATATAAAATATGAAATATATTATATGAGAAGTATGGAGAAGATGTGAAAGTCATTAAAAAGAGAGAAAAGAGAATATTATGTTGTTTAATTAGATAAGAATTTTGAATATAATTAACAAACAAGGATAGATTTGGTAAATAAGATAAAGTAGCTGAAGTAATTCTATTGATTCTTATTATAATTAAGTATTCAGTTAGGATTCTTGTACTGAAAAAAATACACACAGGTTCAACACTACTTAACAAGTTCAGCAAATAGATTTTCATTTATCAAATACTCAAAACATCTGAATGTGTGAAAAAA